GCCGGTGCAAAGCTGCGTGTTGGCCTTGCATCCAAAAACCTTTAAATTAGCCTAAATTATATGACAGACTTTTGTGGATTGTTTAAGAATAAGAACAGCGTGACATTTGTTAGTTTAGCAAAAACACCAACAGCGGTGTCCACTACACTTAATTTAATTTGAGTTACTTAACATTGCACGTTCTGCGATGTGACTATTGCACATGCGCACATCGCGATGACGATGCTGAAACGATATATCGTGCAGCCCTAATAGGAACCAGAGAGGCTAAGGCCACAGACACAGGGACCATGGAAGCTGAGGTCACAAACACAGAGACACAGGGACCACAGATGCTAAGATCATAGAAACAGGGACCACAGATATAGGAACCACGAAGGCTAAGGCTACAGAAACACGGACCACAGACGCTGAGGACACAAACACAGGGACCACAGATGATAAGGGCATAGTAACAGGGACCATGACGGGTAAGGCCACAGAAACACGGACCACGGACACTGAGTCCACGGACACAGGGACCACGGAGGCTTAGGGCGCAGACACAGGGACCACAGACACAGGGACCCAGGTGGCTTAGGGCGCAGACACAGGGATCACAGACACTGAGGTCACATACACAGGTTCTATGGACACTGAGGTCATGGACAAAAGGACCACAGACACAGGGACCATGGAGGCTTAGGGAGCAGACACAGGGACCACAGACACAGGGACCACGGAGGCTTAGGGTGCAGACACAGGGACCACTAAGGCTTATGGTGCAGACACAGGGACCACAGAGGCTTAGGGTGCAGACACAGGGACCACAGAGGCTTAGGGTGCAGACACAGGGATCATAGAGGCTTAGGGTGCAGACACAGGGACCACAGAGGCTTAGGGTGCAGACACAGGGATCACAGACACTGAGGTCACATACACAGGGTCTATGGACACTGAGGTCATGGACAAAAGGACCACAGACACAGGGACCACGGAGGCTTAGGGCGACACAGGGACCACAGACACAGGGACCACAGAGGCTTAGGGCGCAGACACAGGTATCATGGACACTAAGGTCATGAACACAGGGGACATGGATGCAAGGATCATTGACGTTGGGGCCAAAGTAGAGGGTAGGGATTCAGGGACCATGGATACTGAGGTCACTGACACTGGGACCGGCTTGTGTAATCCAGGTCAATGGGGGAGGCCGGGCGCCTGCATGTGGGAGGCCCATATTTCTTTATATGAGTGGGTGCAGTCCAAGCATTCACTCGTAACGGTCAGTCAGCTGACAGTGAGGACTGAGGCGTCGGTATCAGTGTGTCTATCAGTACAACAATATAAGCTGCTACCCACCAGCTGTGTGTCTGTGAGGATGTGAGTGTCGCTGTGTGTCAGTATACTTGGGGGGGGGGTGGGTATAGTACTCACAGTTGAAAGAGGAGGGGGAGCCCCGGGAGCGGCTGAACTCCTCCCCGTAGAGGGCAGCCATGCTGGGCTGGCTTGTGCGCCGGCTGGGGTAGGAGGGCAGGGCGGCGGAGCCCGAGCCCGAGCCCAAGCCCGAGCCCAAGCCCAAGCCTGAACCTGAGCCCGAGCCCAAGCCCGAGCCCAAGCCCGAGCCCAAGCCCGAGCCCGAGCCCGAGCCCGAGCCCGAGCCCATGCCTGACGTGGCCCCCGCCATGCGCTCCTTAGTCTTGAGCGCCTGGGCCCTCTCTGTCCGTAACCGTTCCTCGTCCCGCATGAGAGCCACCAGCTGCTTGGCCTTCTCGCGAACATTGACACCCTGGTCCTTGCCATCGCGGTCCACGTATTGGAAGTCCCTGAGCGTCTGAATGGTGAAGGCGTTCTCACGGCACTGCTGTGCCACGCGCTCCGAGCCCGTCTTCATCAGGTAGTCAAGCAGTGTCAGAGCCTTGTACACGTGCCGCCAGTTCTTGCCATGATCGTTCAGGCGCTTCCAGATCATGCCCATGACCTCAGTGAAGGCCACTACGTTGAAGGTCATGTCCGAGATCTCGGACATGAGCGAGCTAGGTGGCCCCCATGGGTCATTGGAGGTTGCTTCCCGCACTTTGATCTCTGCCTCAGAGTAGTTGTGCACGATATTCTTCACCTGCCGGCGCAGGGCTGAAGTTGTCATGGTGATAATGGTGCTGGAGGTTTACCTGATCGGGAATAGGAGGGGGTAAATCTAGGTTGTTCCCACACCTCAGCTTGGAAGGAGGAAGAGGAGGATGAGGACAGTCCTATAGGTTGAATTGGGACAGCAGTCCACAAGGGAGCGTGTGTGTGCTGGCTTCCTGTGTGCAGGGCTTAGGGGCGACAGGCACGCTGTGGGGATAGGAGAGAGGGCTATGAGGGTTGGGATTTGTTTAAGGGTGGCACACAGACTTTCCTTTACAAAAAAGACCAGAACAATAATAAAAATATTAGAAGAGAAGGGGCCTAAGGACATTTCCAGTGAAACAGGAGAAGGTGCAATGACCTTGCAATGAATGAAACAGACCAAACATTACTGCGAGTGCAGCGAGTGGTGCCTGCCACCCCCAGCCTGTGAGCCAGGAACTTTCCTCAATCCGCCTGAGTGGGGTGGGACAGGGTTTTCCTGGGGGTTTCTCAGAAAATGTTTCATAGGCCTTCTGCCTCAGCAGGTGGAGCCAATGGCCATAGATGCATTAGCAGGCTAAACCAGTTATGGCAAGCCTTAAATCTGATAGACAAGACTTGCTGTCTCACTGCCTGTCTGCCTGTATGATTGTCTTTGTCTCAGTCTGTCTCCCTGCCTCTGTCACTTTGCCTGCCTTCCTATGTGTACTTGCATGCCTGTCTGTTTGCCTGCCTTCCGGTGTCTACCTACCTACCAGCCTGTCTCTGCCTGCCTGTCTGTTTTTTTTTGCCTATGTCTATTTGCCTGTCTTTCTCTCTCTCTGTCTGTGTCTCCC